TAGAATCTTTTTTCTTAGTGGAGTTTTACTAGTTTCCTAATCTAGTTTCGGAGTTTTCTATAGTTTTTCTTTAGCTCTAAATTTGGTCCGAATGATCTACGGAAAGAGTGAATGTCTGTTTTCTGGAAGAATTTAATTATAGATTAGTTTTAGGACTTATATAATTTGTATCTTATTTGTATCTTATGATATATATTTTAGAAATTATTATTATAGTGCTATAGTGTCATAGTGCTACTCTGATGTAATTAAATAATTTTTATTTTAATGACATATATAGTATTATAGTACTACTTATTATGTAATTGTTTGTTAATTAAAAAATAAATAATATTAGCAACAAAGTACTATAGCGCTACCTTTATATAATCGATTTATTAAACTTAATGGGTTTGATACTAGTTTGATTTATTGTGTAAATTTTTTTTTAGTTACTTATCCAAGCTTGACTAATTGTCTAACTGCCTTTATCTACACAAAATAATGAATGAATTCATTATTAATGATATACTATATGACTTTGCTATTGATTATAACATATTATATGATAACAATAACTTAAGCAATTTTGCTTATAATTATATACTATATAAGAACCAACCCAAATTTGCTATCAATAACAATGTTATATATAAGATTGATCAACCTGGACAAGAAGCTTATGATTTGGTTAATTTTAAGGTATATAATATGAAAATACAATAAATAATGAGTTAGATAATGAGTTGAATAACGAGTTAGATAATGAGTTAGATAATGAGTTGGATAATGAGTAAAGTTGTATAATAAATGAAGATACTCAAAATGAAGAATTGCAAACAAATACAATATTTCATAACTAGAACCATGCGATGAATATGACTGAAAAGTATGAGAAGAAACAAGAATTTAAGATACATTGTTATCATATTGAAAGATCTAATAGAAATATAAGAAGGTGTATATTAGTTTATGAATATTTTAGGCAACCTGAGCTAACAAAAAGCAAGAATTCTAAGAAAGAAACAAGTTCTAAACATATTGAGTGTATATAGCAAATTATCTCACGGCTTCTAATTGTTCTCTCATTCTTTTTTTTATTATTATTTTCATGGCTTATGTCATAATGCTTAATATTGTTATCGTTATAGTTGATATTTTCATAGCTGATCTTTTCATAGCTGACATCATGAATCTGTGAGGATAAATCAGTTATTTCACATATTTGTCATCGATATCATAAACCATGAATAGCCTTCGATATCATGCATAATTGCAGCTACACTGCAAATATGCATAATATCTCTAGCTACTCATGATGTTTTATAATATCTATGATAAAACGTGGAATAACTATTTCTAAATCTTTCTTGTCTTGAGAAGAACAATCCTCACAAGATAGTATATGTAACAAAATTAGTTGATAAACATAGGAATCACGTTCTTGATTGTGCATATTTTGACTTTTAGAGTAACTTGGAGTTCACTATAGATATGGTTTAGGATGCTGAGTTTTTTGAACTAAAATGAATTGTAGCCTCTAACAAATTCGTAAAGCTCTAGAAGAAAAATATAGTATAAAGGTTTATATACCTGTAATAAATTGGGTAATTCAAAAGTTTTGCCCTAAATTATATGACTATACAAATGATACTAGTCACTTGTACCAAGAATTGCCAAAAAAAAAGAAATTGATCTCCGATAGTATGTTGAAGTAAATTGGGACTCTCATAATAAATGTTTTATCCACTTATTCTATATATCTCAGGTCAAATTGAGCGATAGTTGAAGTTTGAGGATATTGTTCTAAATGATAATACTTCTGCTATGAATAGGTATGAAATAGCACTATCACTTTTTTTAGTTGTTGACAACTACTTGTCTTCCCATTTGGCAGTTCAGACATTGACAGATGATAAGACAAAAGAGGCATATATATAGATACTACAGCAAATAAAAAAAGCAATATTTGATGCTATTTCTCAAATAATCTTCACTGATACTGATCCTGCTTTAATTTCTGCAATTCAAGATAAATTTCTGACTACAAGTACCCTTCATTCTATGTTCCATATTGCACAGAATATACCTTTGAATTTGAAAAATAATCTCAGAGATCATTATAATGAGTTTATTAAGGATTTTTTCAAAGTACAAAGAAGTAGTTTCATAGCAATCTTTGAATACTACTGGAAATGCTTACTTGACAAGTATAACAATGAAAATGTAGTTAGCTACTTAGAATGTATACTTTATACAAGCAAAGAATCTTAGACAAAAGTATTTATACTTAAATTGTTTAAAGCGAGAATGTTTTTAACTTCTAGGGTTGAAAGCTACAATTCAAAGATCAAAAAACTTATCTTTAATTCGAATACAACATTGTTAGAACTTGCAAAAAAATTATCAATATGTATTCTTAAAGAGAATAAAAAAACTGAATATGCTTTATTTTGCGTATCAGTTCCCAAAGCTGTTTTGTCTGCAACAGCTAATACTATTCTTCTAAATATATGTATATGTTATGCAAATATCTTACTACTGAGATGTTAAAGATTCAAGAAGATCAAATAAAACAAGCATTTAACTATCATGCTATAAAAATAGTTAAAAACGAAGTGCAAAGATACTTTGCGGTAAATTAAGTGTAATTAATTATCTTTTGAAAAAATTTACGTTACTGTTACATTAAATTTTTTTAATTTAGATTGACCTTGATGATTCTACCTTATTTAGTGAAAATCCAAATTTTACTGATATTACTGCCAAGTCTATGCTTAATCTTGTCAATGAGGATAAAGTTGTAGAAATATGAGGAGTTCGACAAGTAATATCAAACGAAATAGGGCATTTTGTAGTACTTTTGGATGATGGAACCTACTTATACTCTTGTTTTGATCACTGTAATCGTAGGATCATTTGTTAGCATTTCTTTCAGGTAATGCTATATATATCAGCTGCAACATTTCATATTCAGTTAATATGTTCACAATGGTATAATAATAGCATAACCAACAATTCTGCAGAAAAACTATTTTTAGTCACACAAAAAGTTGAAATAGGAAAGTCAAAGAGCGGTAGCGCATCCTTAGAAAGCAGCATATGGGCACCTAAGACAGAAATATGTAAAG